CGCCGGGCCAGCTGTGGCCCCAGCTCCGGCAGGCCACCCCGGCGGCGGTTGGAGAAGACCTCTGCGAGGCCCTCCAGCTGCCGTGGCCGCTCCCGCAGCAGGGCAGCCCAGAGTACGCGGGGTTGGGCCCGAAGGCCGAGGCGGTCATGAGGGTCCTGTGTGGCCTGGCCGCGGAGGACGTACTCCACGCCGTCAAGGACCAGAGTCGGAACAGTGCCAACGGCAAGGTCCGGGTGGAGGGCACCTTTCGGTTGTTCCTCAAGTACGGGGAGGAGGCGCTGTCGGTCCAGAGGGGGCTGGCCGCCCTGGACGGGCCCTTGCGCGCGGCCGCGGGCCTTCCCGTCCGCGGGAGGCCCCCGCCGGCGCGGGGAGACGGGGCCCCCGCCCCTAAGCGCAGGTTGATGTACTGCGAGGCTACGGCCGAGGAGAAGGAGCGCAAGCGCAGGCGCTTGGAGGCGGGGGCGGCTGGAGGAGCACCCGGCCAGAAAGGGAGGGGCCAGGGCCAGGCCAAGGGAGGCAAAGGCGGGAAGGGCGGCAAGGGCGGCCAGGGCGGGGGCGGCAAGGGCGGCGGCAAGGGCAAGAAGGGGGCCAAGGGCAAGAAGGGAGCCAAGGACGGGCCCCAGGGAGTCGCGCCCGGAGGCGGCGCTCCCGCCGCCGCCCCTCCGGTGACCGTGGAGCGGGCCCAGGCAGCCAGCCAGGCGGTCGCGGCGGCCCAGGCTGCCGCGGCCGGGGGAGCAGCGCCGCCCGACGGAGCAGCGGCCCCCCCCCCGGCTGGGGGGAAGGGGCAGTAGAGTGCGCCCTCGGGGCCGGCGTCGCAGTATAAGGGGGCGTCACTGCACCTCCGGCGGCGCCGCGGTGGAACGCGGTGGGATTGGTTACTTTTTTCTTTTGCACGCACTACACACAGGCCGATGCTTAGCGTCCTTCCCGCCCCCCTCCTCCCTCCTCCCCCCCTGCCCCCTCCCCTCTCTCCCGCCTCTCCTCTCTCCTCCCCTCCCTTGCGGGGGTGGGCGTCTGTCCCGAGGTGCTGACCGAGGCGGGTCTGGGGCGGAAGCCCCCCCCTGCCCCCTCCTTCCTTCCCCTCTCCCCCCCCTCTCTCCCCCTCTTCCTTCCTCCCCTCCCCTTCCTCCCCCCTCCTCCCCTCTCCTTTCCCCCTCCCTTCCCTCCCCTCCCCCCCCCTCCCCTTCCTCCCCCCCCACCGGCGAGCCTCCCAGCCCAGCCCCCCATCGTCGACCGAGGCACGTTTTTCGGGAGGCCCTCGATCCGGGCGTCCGCGTCCGCCAGCCGGTACGGCTACTGGGCGGAGGACGAGGACGAGGACGAGGCAACGCCCACGCGGCGCCAGGCGAGGGCATAGGGGGGGGGGGGGGGGGGCGCCTGCCGCTGGGGAGGGCGAGAGGAGGAAAGAGTTGGAGGAGAGAGCAGAGGTGAAGGAGGGAGGAGGGAGCGATGTTTCGAGGTAGGCGGGCGGAGTTGGATGAGGGAGGAGGGGGTGGCTGAAGGGAGGAGGAGTTGGAGGGGGCGGGGTTGAGTTGAGGGAGTTGGAGGGATGATGAAGGAGTTCGAGGGGTTGGAAGAGGAGCGTATAACTACACAACACATCGATATCGATCTCGAGATCGAGGTCGACCAGGAGGATGTGGGCGGGTCGATCTCGATCTCGAGATCTCCATTTCGAGATCGAGGCCGAGATCGATGCCGACCTCGATCGAGGGGCACCTCGACCGCGATCTCGATATCGAGATCGAGCACGTGGCTAGTGGACAGGACACCGCCGAACCCGACGAGGCAGCTCCCCTGGCCGACGACGGCGAGGAGGCGGCTGTCCCCCTAGAGGACGAACACTGCGGGGAGGCGGAGGCGCCCCCCCTGGAGGATGACGGCGAGGAAGCTGCGGCCCCCATCGAGGACAAGGATAAGGATGACGGCGAGGAGGCTGCGGCCCCCATCGAGGACGAGGATAACTGCGAGGAGGCGGAGGCTGTCCCCCTGGAGGGCGACGGCGAGGGAGCGATTGCCCCCCATCGAGGACGAGCACGGCGAGGAGGCGGCGGTCCCGCAGGACGAGGGCGAACACTGCGAGGGGGCGGAGGCGGACAGCTTCTACTCGGATGACTCAGGGGATGGCCAAGGAGGAGCTCGGGGAGGCTGCGAGCAGCACAGCTGCGTCGAGCAGCAGCGGTGGAGGCATCAGCATGCCGTTCATGAAGGAGCTCATGGGCCACCGCCCGCGCAAGAAGGTGATCAAGAAGGAGGTCAAGCAGGAGAAGGAGGGGCCCGAAGAACTCAGCTGGATCCCGCCGAGCCTGTCGATCGGCTCGATCCCGAAGCCTCAGGACAAGCCGACCACGGCGAAGAGCAAGGCGACGGGCAAGCCGAAGGGCAAGGCGGAGGGCAAGGCGACGCCCAAGAGGAGTGCGCCGCCCAAGCTGGTGATGCAGCCGAAGAAGAAGGCGCGCGCGAAGGCCAAGGCTGCGACGAAGGAGGAGGCGCCAGAGGAGAACTCAGCTGACAAGGAGGATGAGGCCCCAGCGCCAGAGGAGAACCCAGCTGAGAAGGGCGAGGCCCCAGCGCCAGAGGAGAACCCAGCTAAGGAGGAGGCGGCCCCAGCTGAGGAGGATGGGGAGGCGGCCCCAGCTGAGGAGGCGGCTGTCGTGCTCACGCCGCCGATCGATTGGGGCCAGGAGCCGAACTTCCTCGGCAACGGTGTGCACAAATGCCAAGACGACGCGGGGAACCACTTCGAGCTGAAGTACCGCGAGCGCGCCTCCGAGGGCTACCAGTGCATCGCGTTCAGGACCTTCATCGATGACGAGGCGCCCCAGTGGAAGCAGCTCATCCAGACGGCGGACAAGGACTGGAAGGCCTGGCAGCTCGAGAAGAACAACATGACCAGGACCGACTTGCCGAAGTTCGCGCTCAAGCAGATCTTCTACTACCTGATGAAGCTGAAGACGCGCAACAAGGACGCCGCGAAGCTGATCAGGATCCAGGCGCTCAAGTCGCTCGACGTGCAGTAGGTGCCTTGGGACGCGGGTCGATGAGCAGGGATGGTTGAAAGCGCTTCTCGAGAGCGAGGAGAAGGGGGGGGGGGCGGAGGAGGGGAATGAGGGGGCGGACGAGGAGTGGCAAGGGGATCGAGGACGAGGAGGTCGAAGAGGGCGACGCCCTTCTGGAACAGGAGGAAGATGACGAGGCGAAGGAACGAGGAGAGGAGATATAGGCAGGTTTCCTGGAGGATAAGACTGAGGAGGATGAGGAATAGAAATGAGAACGATGAGGACGAGGATGATAATGATCAGGAGAAGGAGAGTGATGATGAGGAGGGCGAGGATGAGGAGGAACGACCTATCGCTCTACATCTTTCCCCGAGCGCTCTGGAGACCTCTGGCTCTGGGAGGTGCTCGTGAACGTCGGCGCGAACCCCGTCGACGCCATGAACGGCGATCGTATGTTATCCTTGAGGCCACCTTGTGCGGGATGGGGGGGGGGGGGGGGGGCACTGTCAGCGTGTGAGCGTTTGTTGTATGTGAGCGTGGGCGAGAAGCAGGAGGAGGAGCGAGGAGGAGGAGGAGGTTGTATGCATGTAACGGCGCACCGGGCCCGGGGGCCCGGGCCGGGACCTCGACCACAAATGTGGGCCCCGGGGCTCATTTTCCGTGTGATTTTACAGGGTTTCGGCGTCAAGGAGGGTCCAAGAGGCTCCAGAACAGACACCGGACGCCCGAAGGTCGCTCTTAGACGCTTAACATGGCCTCGAAGACATTTTCAGAAGTCCCCAAGACACTCCAAGCGACCCCCAATAGGGCCCCCAATGCAATTCCAAGCGGCCAAAATAGCCTCATTCTGTTTGTAAAACGTAGTTTGTTTTCGCTGTCGGCACGGCCCACGAAGGGCCCAAGACGCTCGCAAACGTGGGCTCCGGGGATCTCGGGGAGCCCGAAAGCCGAGAGAGAGAGAGAGAGAGAGAGAGAGAGAGGAGAGAGAGAGAGAGAGAGAGAGAGAGAGAGAGAGAGAGAGAGAGAGACCGAGGCACACCGAGAGAGAGAGAGAGAGAGAGAGAGAGAGAAAGCAATCAACAAAAAGAGAGACGAATAGAAGCCGCGATGCCTCTTAGGAGTGGTCCTATCGGGCCTACAGAGCTCGTCGTTGAGCCTCCGGGAGCCCTCTCGGCACGGAAGGCTTGCGTTTCCGGCTTGCGGCGCCGTCTTCGGGAACGTTTGTGGCCGTCTTGGGCATTTTCTTAGGCCGCCCTGGGGCCTCTTGGGCCTCTGGAGCGATAAGTCCCACGCGCTTCAAAACTACTCGAGTTTCAACGGGTTCTATGGTTGTGGCCTCCTGGAGGCCTCTTGTGGCGGCGCTGGCTTTCTCGAGGCCAAAAGCTTGAATATGCGGCTTGCCGTTTCTTTGGTGGGGCTCTTCTCTTGGGGCCGTTTTGCCGCAGTCTTCGGCAGGAGGAGGAGGAGGAGAGGCAGGAGGAGGAGGAGGGGAAGATGAGCAGCAGATATGCAGTAGGATGAGGAGGATGGTGAGGACGAGAAGGAGGAGGAGTAGGAGGAGCAGGAGGGCGGCTTGGAAGTTCTCTTGGGACGCCTCGGGGCCTTCTTCGCGGGGGGGGATCTTCGGCCGTTTGGTAGTCGTCCTGGGGATTCTCCGAGCCGTTGTGGAGCGTCGGGGGGCCGAACCGGCGAGGTGTCCCAATTCGTTCAAGAAGCAAATTGAAACGAATAGTTCGCGTTTTCCTTGACTCTTCTTGGAAAGGCCTCGCAAAGCAGGGTTGGGCCGCTTCGGTGGCCGGTTGGGCCGTCCCGAGGACGTCTTGCACGCATCTTGAGCAATGTTGTGCCATGTTTGGGCCGTAATTGACGAGGGTTCGTAGCCATTGGGGTGCGGACCTTCCAGCTTTGTATGTATTTGCAAGGGCTCGGGACTTGATGCGGGTCTGCCGCTTCTCTCACGGGGATCGTAGCATCGAAGGTGTTGACTTGTTGGTTACCCAGCCATATTCATTGAGACTCGTAGCTCTGTTCGTGGTATGTGTCGCGGGCCTTTATTCTGGCAGTCAGCTGGCTTGCGACCGTTGCCTCTTCTCGCAGGCGTGGCCCGGTATATCTGGGCAGCAGAGTCTTCATTTCAGCCTGCTGGACCGCCCGTCGCTCATCGGCAAAAGTGACTCGGGAGCTGGCGGGCGTGGCAGACAGATCGGGCATATGGCGCGGGCAGCAACGCCTCGCTGAATGCCAGCGCGGTAGGGAACTTAATATTTTTAAAGTGGCGCCGCCAGAGGTCCTGCGCGGTGGCCGCGCAAACATGCCCAGTCGTCCCTATTGCTCCCCCCCCAAAAAAAAAACAAAACACGGCCCAAAGGGGCTTCAATCAAGAAACGGAAATGATGGAGGCTATAGTTTAATACGTGGCTGGCTCAGGCCCCGACGAGGACAAGACCATCACAGGGTCGATTGCACGTCCTAGGGGTGCGATTCAGCATGCTGAGTCTGCACGTCGTTGTATCCCCAGCCAGCACACGCTGTGACTGGCCAGCGGGTCCTGCGATTTTTTGTCTTGGCCAACACAGGCCGCGACGGGGAGCAGACAATTGCGACATGTTTCCACATGAATCGGAGAGCCGATGCAGGGTCGATTGCATGTGCTAGGGGTGTGTTTCTGCATGCTGCTTTTCGTGTCTCACTGGACCCGTGTCACTATATAAAGAGCCCTTGAAACAGAGTAGGCGTGGCACGCGAGACATGCGCAGGTCCTTGAGCATTTTTTTGGTAGACCATGTGCGGCTCAGGGTGGGAAAAAACAACTGCCCAAGAGGCTCCCAAGAGGGCTCCAAGATAGCCCAGGAGCGCTCCCAGACGGCCCAAAGGGTTCCCAAGACGGCGCAAGAGGCTCGCAAAACGTGACAACAAAGCGCCATAAGAATCCGAAGACGCTCAAGGAGGGACCCGAGACGCCAAGAGTCCGCTCTAAGACGCCCAAGGTAGCCCCGAGACGGCCCAAAAAGCTTCAAGATGCCCACGGAGGCTTCAAGACGCTCCCCAGTAGGGCCCCAAGAGGGCATAAAGACACCAATTTTATTAATTGGCCGATTGGTTTTTATTAGTTTTTTTGGGTTCCCGCCTTTTCGGCTTGACGCTGCTCCACGACGGCTCCGAATATCGCACCAAGGCAGCCAAAGAGGCTCACAAGACAGATCCAAAACACGCCGGGAGCGCCCCAACACGGCTTGAAGGGACCCCAAGACGGCCCAAGAAGCCCCCAGGACAGTTCCAAGAAGGGGGCCAGAGGGGGTATTGGAACGGAAGTCTCCGTCCCTGGAGGTCCCCAGGAGGCCTTGAGAAGCACCCAAGAGGCGCCCAAGAAGCGCCGAAGAGGCCCCCAAGACGCCCCCATGAAGCTCCGAAACGCCCCCTAGAGCCTAGAGCTTGCTTCCCGGACGCCCCGAAGCACCCCGGGCGATCCTGAGGGAGCCCCAGGGAGCAGAAGTCGCTCCTCTCCGTTCGGAAGTCCACATGCAGGAGCTCCGAAAAATCGCCTCTTGAATGCCTCTTGGGCCGCCCTTCGTGCGCTCTTGGGGACAACTTGTGTTTTTTTGGGGGGCCCTCTTGGAGACCGCTGGGGCCTCTTCGTCGGCAAGCGTTCGACTCCAAGATATGTAGAGCATGAGCACGCGCGAAGCGCGCGATGGTTCTAGCACCGATTGATGGGTGTCTTCTATATCGGTTATGCCCTTGACCGTCAACAGGGATGAGATGATGTGTTTCTATGGTGTTCTTCAGGACGGGCAATGCCCCAGACCCTTCAAGGGGAGGCCTGGTGGTGCCTCGTTGTCAGTGTTCTGCCAGTGGTTGCAGGCTCTCCTTCAGAGTGCCTGGGAGGGTCTGAGGTTGATTGTTTTCGTGGGTGCAATGGTACGGTTTCCCTCGTATCACACGCTGCTTATATTGATTATCTTCGGTTCTGATGGGAAGTCGATCAGCTTTTTGATTGCAGCTTGCTCAGTATCGGTCATGTCACCCCCAAGACCATGAAAGGGCACTGGCGCGGCTTATGTTTGTTCATGGATGAGTGAGTACGGGTCATGGCACCCACCCATTCCTTCTCTCCTCTTCTCCTCCTCCCCCTCCTCCTCCTTTTCCCCCTCCTCCTCTTCCCCCTCCTCCTCTTCCTCCTGCCCTCTCATCTCCCGATCCTCCTCTGATTGGGGGAGCCGCCGCTGGCCATCCCCCCAATCCTTCCAATCCTCCTGCTCATCCTCTGCCCACGCGTGCCTGCATGTATGACACGGTGCTTAAGGCAATCCAGCATAATTGTGATGCATCTGAGTTATCGGTGGGCGTTCCTTGGCTACTGGTGCCCAGGTCTGACCCCAGTATGCAGGTGCCGTATACACTATGAAGCGATTGGGGCTCATGTTGGACGTCCTGGGACAACATCTTTTTTTACGGACGGGGCTTCCTTCGGACCGGCGATAACAGAGATAATGAGATGTGGATTGGCTTTTGTCATGTCTTCCTGTTCGTGCAGGTGTTGGACCTTCACCTGGCCCCGGGGCACCGGGGCCCGGGGCCCCGGGGCCAGGACCTCGACCACAAATGTGTGGCCTGGACGCTCATTTTCCTTGTATTTTTACAGGGTTTCGGCATTCCAAGGCCTCACAGGAGGCGCCAAGGAGGCCCCAAGAGGCTCGGGAGCAGACCCAGAACGCTCGAAGGTCGCTCCCAGACGTCCAACATGGCCTCGAAGGCACCTTCAGAAGTCCACAAGACACTCCAAGCGACTCCCAATAGGGCTCCAAAGAGAGCTCCAAGTGGCCCAAATAGCCCCATTCCCTTTGTAAAACGTATACTTTAAACATGTTGTTTGTTTTCGCTGTCGGTCCGGCCCAGGACGTGCCCCAGAGAGCCCCAATACAGCCCCAGAGAGCTCCTCGACGGCTCGCAACTTTCGTTGAGGCCCTCCAGGACTCCCAGGAGGGCCTCAACAGGCAAGCACTGTTGATTTTCCATTGTTTTATTGAAATTCAGAATTGGCTTTCCAGAGCACCCCTAAGACGGCCCAAGAGGAACTCCAGACGACCCAGAAGGCGCCCAAGAGCGCCCAAGAATATACTCCAAGCCGACCGAAGATGGCCCAAGGACAGCCCACGAGGTCGCTGAGGCGGCCCAAGAGGCTTCCAAGAGGTCTCCCACGAGTGCCACCAGGGTCGAAATCATTTATTTCCCCCGGGATTTTGCAGGTGTTCGGCCTCCTCGCCTTTTCAGTTTCCCGGCGCTCAAAGATAGCCTATGCCTCCAAGACCGCCTCAAGATGGCCAAAAAAGCTCCAAGTAGGGCCTCAAGCCAGCCCAAGAGAGCCCCAAGACGGCCCGGTTTTGACCTTCCCGACGTTTTGGGACAGCCTGAGAAGCGCCTGAGAACGTCCCAGGTTGGCTTTCATGGCTTCCGAGCTTCCGATATCTTTCCAAGATGGATACTTCCTTCACTGAGCAGGTCCACGCTGCCTCTCCGAACTGGGGGTGACAGGATGTTTCCAGCGAGAGGAGGAGGACGAGGAGGAGGAGGAGGAGGAGAAGAAGAAGGAGAAGGAGGAAGAGGAGGAGAAGGAGGAGGACGACGAAGAGCACGCGGAGGAGGAGGATGAGCAGGAGCATCAGGAGACCGAGAAGGGACAACGACGAGGACGGGAATGAGGGGGGATGAGGAGGCTAGAACCTAAGCGCGCGCGCGTGGTTCTAGTATACATAAGCATGATAGCTGGCACCTGGGACAAGGCACCAGAGGAGGAGGAAGAGGCGGAAGAGAAGGAGGAGGAGGAGGGGGACGAGGACGAGGAAGAGGCGGAAGAGTCAGGAGGTCGGCGAGGAGCCTCAAGGACGTCAAGAGGAGGAGAGAGCTTGAGTATAGAAGACTAGGAGGGTTAGGAGACCAGGAGCCTCAGGGAGTGGCGAGGAGGAGGAGGAGGAGGAGGAGGAGAGAGCTTGAGCCTAGGAGGGTCAGGAGCGAGGAGCCCCAGGGAGCGGCGAGGATGAGGAGGAGAGGCTGCTCTCGAGGATCAGTATAGGAAGGAGGATCAGGAGGATGAGAAGACCCTGTTCGTTCCCCCCGCATACGGCCTTCAGGCGAGCGGGGCACCTTGCACCACAGCGCGCTGCAGAACATCTTCCTCGATCGAGGGAGGGTTGCCGCTAGCAGCGCAGTCGGCGTCGCGACGACGACTCTTGCTCATGCCTGGCCGTGGGCCGGATTGCTCGGTGCCCAGTTGCAAACATGAGCGACCTCGCGCTGCGTGCAGTGACCTCAGTATGCATGGACGCACGCACGGCGTGTTGGCGAGCGTTCAATTATTCAGAGGCCAGCAACATATGTACGCGCACGCGGTTAGCTTCCCCTGGAGGGCGTTTGAGCGAGGACATTCGTGCACTCAAGACCGCGGAGGGCGCACGTGTACACATGTCGTAGCTCGCTCAATTGCATGGCCTGTTTCGACACTTTTGTTTTTGAGGGTGGGCCTTGGATCCAGCCGCGGCGATGCCCTCGCTCAGGAGTGCTCCTCAGCAGCACGATCGAGTCGTCGACCCGTCGTTGACGTTGAAATTTGCCACCGCCCCACTGCAGTCGGGCCCCCATGGGTTAAAGGGACGGGGAGGCGAGAGGCAGTAGCTGCGAGGGGCTTGCGTTCTTGAGCCACGTTCTGGAGGAAGTGCGTGGCCCTTGTCGGCCCAGAGTAGGTCGACCCTGCCAAATCAAGGGTACCCTTGTGTCCTGTGCCCCGCGACCCATGATTCCTACATTCCTGTGGCAATGTGGCCTTCGGAAGGGTCTTGCGCCCTCTCGCGCGCTCCGTCCAATTGAGTCCGACTGTGCACCCCCTTTCCACTGACCATCTCCTGTTTCGATATATGTGCTGCCATCGTTTCGCGACATTGCCGACAGCCCAAGCCCGAGTCCAGCGCTGGCCCCCTCGAGCATACGCCCAAGGCCGCGGCTGCGCAGGCGAAAGGGGGCATGCGCATGTGAGCCTCGACTCGATGGGGCAGAGTTCCACGGGATGGGGGATCGAGGCGGAGAGCTAAGATCGAAGATAGGACTGGGGAGGGATCCCGATCGAGGAGCTAGGACCGAGGAGAAGGAGCGAGGCACGGAGGACGGAGGACGAGGGCTAGAATCGAGGATAGGATCGAGGGCTAGGGCCGAGGAGAAGAGCAACGCACGGAGGCCGGAGGACGGAGGAGAGACGTAGGAGAGGAATAATGTCATCGATCGATGGGGAACGTTCAAGGCAAGGGGCCACCGAGGACGAGGAGGAGAGGGGTATATGTATACATATGTAT